TGCCATTGGTTCACCCTCCAATGGCCGCCGCGGCCAGCGCACTGCGGCCTGCGCACCACACTGATCCGATGGCAGGAGCCAGGTACTTATCCTGGTCTCCCATGGGGTGCAGGGCCCAAGCACTTGGGCCATCCTCCACTGCACTCCCTGGCCACAGCAGAGAGCTGGCCTGGAAGAGGGGCAACCGGGACAGAATCCGGTGCCCCAACTGGGACTAGAACCCGGTGTGCCGGCGCCGCAAGGCAGAGGATTAGCCTAGTGAGCTGCGGCACCGGCTGAAACAACTACTTCTATCAGCGGTCATCTGGCACGAGGGATTTAAGATGGTGGGTTCATTAAAGAGAGTGAGGCTCTAAACTCATTTATGTCTCCTTGAACCTGTTTAATCAAAATGATTTTCTGCTACTCTCGATTACACATCAAGTTTCTGTGGTGACAGATTAATGACTGATCCATAAACCACACCACTTCTCTTGTCACCAGTCCCACCGACTCGGCCAGCCACAAGTCTATCAGTAAGCCCCACTTGCATTCACAACTCATTACAGCCAAGAAGTGAAGAGCCAATGAGCAGATGAGAGGCTCACAGCCACCCTGGTTCTGAGCTGGAGGCCACCCAAGCCCACAGAGCACGCGGTACAAGGAGAAGGAGAGCAGGTCCATGCGCTCTCATTAGAATTACAAACTCAGGGCCCTGCGCGCTAAGATAAATGCCAGCCAGGCAACACTTGTGGTTCTTTGGGCCTGTTACAGGTAATTATCCGGGAGTTAAATGTCAGGGCCACTTTCATGTGTGCAAAAGAAAGAAAATGCCATGTTTGGTGTCAGCAACAATATTATTTTAATCAAATCAGAAGCTCATTATTAGGAGAAGGTAAGCCCTGACATGACCCCTGAGTAAGCTGTGTCCAAGCTCCCCATCCTGCTGCATCTTAGCCTCGGTATCTTCACTGTCTCCAACCTCACACAGCAAAGACGGCAACATGAGATGGATAGAGGCTGACTCCCCAATCCACAGCGTGCACCAGGAGCTGAGATCCGGACGGCCTGGTTCCAGCCCAGGCCCCTCCACAACCCAGATCCTTACCTGAACAGCAGACTTCACCGACCAGTAAACAGGGGATAGTAATGTTAGTACCATAGGATTGTTAGGAGCATTCACAAGGAAACAGTGCTCCTTAAATATCAGCTACTATCTCTTCTTGCAATGCCTTAATCTTTTCATTATCCCCAGCAAGGCTAAGAAAAAACTTTTATCTAAATAAAGAAAACAGAGTAACAAAGACTGGTAGGACCCTTAAGTTAAGGGACTGCATCCAACACACCAAGGTTAGAGAACATGTTTACTCTCCCTTACAGCTCAGTGCCTGCCACGTGTTGGGATGTGTGAATGTACAGACGAATGTAACAATGAGCAGAGAATATTTTCATCACAGTAATGGTTATTCAAAGCCAAGGCCAAGTCAGATTCAGAAAAATGAGAATTGCCACATCTTGGCCCTTCTACCTCCAACCTCTGACAGCTGGAGATGGAAAATCATCGTATAATTTAATCTAAACATCTGCCTTTTTCATACTCTCATTTTAATATTTCATTTGTGCACAAAGTCCAGGACTCCACCTGCCCAAAACATCTCAATTACTAGTGTTTATAAAAGAATAATGACCAAACTAACAGATCACAAATACATTTAAGAGAAGTCATTTGAATTTTGCAGTTATTTCTCCTGAATCCTCAGCTCAAAACATCAAGCCATGGAGCAGCTCTGAAGGTTTACTTCTGCAAATGAGAAGCCAGTGCTTACACACGCAGAGCAACAGGACAGTGAGCAGAGGCGTCGAGGCTGTCCCCACCCAACCATCAGGGAGCGTCAAACACAGCTCCCACCAATACTCACTTCCAACTGACCCAGTAACAGCAGCATCAACTCCATGAAAAACGTCCTTAGCTTTCAGTTTCCCAAATTCAAACATCATTTCCAACTCAGTAACTCTCCTCCAAATTCAACAAAGTGAGAAGATGAGAAGTGTTCTTTCAAAGTGAGTTTCAAAAACTGACCAGCATCATAACAATAATGTCGAGACACGGCCTTTCCAAGTTATCAGCAAGCACGGGCTTCAACAAAACAACTGAAACAATCCGGTGCTTTGGCAACCTCTGGCAAGGCCTGGCTCCATGAGAATGACCCACTGTCTGCCGCATTGCTCCCTATGGGAAGCAACCACTGAATGAATGGTCCCAGGTGATCCACACTTTGTGGTTCTCCCAATAAGGGACCCAGTTGAAGACACTTGGCTTGCTCTGAGAGCACACCTGGACTGGGTTTCCCAGCACTTTAAAGATGTTAAGAACATTGGCCGGCGCCGCGGCTCACTAGGCTAATCCTCCGCCTACCGGCGCAGGCACACCGGGTTCTAGTCCCAATCGGGGCACCGGATTCTGTCCCAGTTGCCCCTCTTCCAGGCCAGCTCTCTCCTGTGGCCCGGGAGTGCAGTGGAGGATGGCCCAATACTTGGGCCCTGCACCCCATGGGAGACCAGGAGAAGCACCTGGCTCCTGCCATCGGATCAGCGTGGTGCGCTGGCCGCAGCGCGCCAGCCGTGGCGGCCATTGGAGGGTGAACCAATGGCAAAAGGAAGACCTTTCTCTCTGTCTCTCTCTCACTATCCACTCTGCCTGTCAAAAAAAAAAAAAAAAAGAAAAGAAAAGAAAAGAAAAAAGATGTTAAGAACATTAAATGGTCTGAACCACTTTTACTATTAGAAGACTCCAGGAAGCACACAAAATGGTTGCTGACTGCAGATGTCTGAGTTTTTTTTAAATGTTCAGATGTTTCCGTCATGCTGGATCAAACATTTCTTACACATGTGCTGCTGAGGTGGGCACTGTGGCTCTGCAGGCTGAGCCACCACTCAGGAACCTGCATCCCTCACTGGAGTGCCTGGGATCCATTTTGTCCCTCTGCTTCTGATCCACCTTCCTTCTAACGCACCTGGGAGGCAGCAGGTGATGGCCCAAGCACCTGGCTTCCTGTCACCCATGTGGCAGGCCCAGATGGAGCCCCTGGTTCCTGGCAGCCAGCCCTAGCTGTTGTGGGTAACTAGGAAGAGAACCAGCAGAAGGAAGATCGCTTTGTCTCTCCCTCTAACTCTGCTTTCAAATAATAAGCAAATCTTTTACAAATACCTATGTGCTGCTAAAAATCTTAGTTTAACACTAAAACAAACCCAGAGAAGCAGTGCACTGGAGCATAAAAGCAGTTCTCATGTTGTTAAGCCCTGAACACATTTACCATAGTAAAGAAGTACTTCCTAAACATCGTAATTACCCCACAGATTTGCTTACGCTAGGACACGGGTTCCCAGTACTCACTCCAGAAACGCAGGAACAAGAGCTACAGGGGAGGTGCCTGGTGCACCCAGATGGCCGTCATCATCAGTCAGGGTTCAAGAGCCACCGAATCAATGCTTAAAAATACCACCACCACCCAGAACAAAGGCAAGAAAGGAAGAAAAGCCCAATTTTTTCTTTTTAAGAGGAAAGCCAAACAGGAATTAGAGGTAATGCCCAGCTCACGATGCACGAAGATTAGGAAACCTCAGACAGACACAGGAGCACAGTAAATGGTTCCAGAACCCAGAGAGTCAACCGGCTCAAACGTATTCAACCCAACCCAGCTGCCAAGAGCACACCTGCAAAGGTGGCTCCTGCACCCAGCAGCCTTCCACACTGCCCGGCAACCCATTCCTACCCCAGTCAAGCTCAGGAACCCAAGCGTCTGGGTCTGAGCACAGTTCTCAGTACTGGGCTAAGGCAGTAAAGGCAGGGTTCCTGGTGGTTAACGGGGCGGGTCAGAGACGGAACCAGGTGTGGGAGGAAGCTCCCTGCAGCACACAGAAAGCCCTAGGTTACCTCAGAAGCTCACAAAATGTTTCCAAATCCCCTTCTAAGAGAAGCAGGCCAGGCGGGCTTGGAATGAGCAGAGACGCAACGCACAGAGGGAAGCCCCCACTTCTCACGCAAGGTGCACCTGTTCCCTTGCAAGAGGGCCTGCAGAGGCGCTCCCTGTCCCCACAAGGGCGGGACCCCCACACACACACCTCTCAGAAACCTGTACACCATGCCCTGCTGAGGACACGGGGCTCTGGCTACGGTCCGGGTCTTTAACACGCGGTTGAAATTTCTAGTTTAATACCTAAAACTGCTCCATATTTTACAACACCAGCAGGGCTCTGGAACACAGAAGCGTTTCTCTGCTTGGCTCCTAAACCTTGGACACTCTGACTGTAGGACAGCTCTCTGGGCTAGGAATTCCTGGTGCTCCGGACGAGGCGGGAGAGGAGAGGGGCTCGGCCTGGCCCCCGGGGCCGCCTGGGGAGCGCGGGCTGCAGCTCCCGCCGCACGGAGGGGACGCCCTCTGCTGGGCAGACCGCGACAGGCGCCTCCCGCTCCTCACCCCGGGGGCCACCTGGCCAGTGGGGCCGGCCTCCGGGCGCAACCTGGCAGCATCGGCGCCCCGGGCGCCCAGGGTCCCCGCGGGCCTCCTGCCCCACCCTCCCTTTCCAGAAAGACCGCGAGGGTCAAGACCACCGCTCCCTCCCCAGCGTATCAGGCCCACGGCTACGACGCACACGCCAGCCTCCTCTCACACCTGCCACACCTGGCCCGCGCTCCCCCTGACCTCTCCAGCCCGGATCCACCTGACGCCCCTGGCCGGGGTCTCCGGGCGCCAGGCAAAGCCAGCCGCCCCCCGCGGAGAGCCCAGAAGCCCCCGGGGCCTCTCCCCATGGGTGCCGGCATCGGTCCGCGCCAGGTGACAGCCCCGCCCCCCACCCCCGGACTGCAGCTATGCACACCTGGACCACAGGTAACAGGCAAGCGCACCGAGCCGCCCAAGTTCTCTTTAAAGTTGCTCGCAAGCAAGACGCACAGCCCAGGGCCTCCGTGGAGGTCCGCCCGGCCCCGCCCCGGTCTCCCCGCCGCGCCGCGCGGTACTCACGTCTCGGAAGCGGTTCCAATACTTGTCCCGGTCGTACTGGGACACGGTGCTCAGCCACTGGTCGTTGTCCAGGAAATGGCCGTGGTTGGGGCCCGCGCCGCGGGCCAGCGCGTCCAGGTGCCGGCTCTCGACTTGGAGGAGGCACCAGGCGGCGGCGGCGGCCGCCAGCACCGCGACCGCCGGCATCTGCGGGACAGGGCAGGGGCTGTGAGCGGCGGAGGCCGGACACCGGGCCGTCCTCGCACCGCCGGGACGCGCGCCCGGGCACCCAGGGCCCGGCCCTGGCGGAGGCGGCTGCGTCACAGACCGCCGGCCGCTGTCCAACTACACGGGAGCCCTTCGGCGCGGGTCCCCGCGGGTCCCCGCGCGGCCGAGGGCTCCAGGACCCCTTCCCGAGAGCCGGCGGCCCCGGGTCCGCAAACTGCGCTCCCCCAGACGGACCCAGCGCGTGGGGGACATGGGGGCACCGGGCTCTGAGCAGCAACGCCGGGCGCTGGCCAAGCGAAGCGGGGGTGCCCGCAGCTGGGGGGGGGTCCCCCTGGTCCCCGCGGCCTCGGCGCAGGAGGGCGCACGGAGGGAGCCCCAGGCCCTGACCCTGCCCGCGCCGAGGTCCCAACTACGCCAAGTTGGGGCGCGTACCTTGGAGGCCGGCCCGGGTCCCCGCGTCCGAGTGCTCGAGCTCGTGTGGTGCGGTCGCCGGGAAGGCTGGGCGCCGACTCGCCGCCCTGCGCTCCTGCCACCTCCCGCCGCCGCCGGCGCCGCGCGTCCGTCCGCTTTGTGAGCCCGCAGCGCTCTGGCTGCGCTCGCTCCCCGACTCGGGCGCGGCGTCGGCGGGCGGAGGAGTCGGGGCGCGCGAGCCGAGGCCTCTGGCGCCTCCTGGCGGCCGCGCGCTGCAGTGCGGCCCGCCCGACAGCCCCGCAGCCAGACCCTGGCCTGGCCGGGAAGGGGGTGCTGCTAACGCAGGACCAAGGATATAAGGCAGACAGTGCTGTGGCATTCTCGAAAGGAGGGAAGCTCAGAATCACCTTGCTAGGCAAAGGAGAGAGCTGCTTGCAAGTAGGAATCCCGGGCTCTGGCCTCCACCTGCCGAATGAGCGGCCCCCAGGGAGAGTCTGCGCTGTGAACAGCTCCCAGGTGCCCCTGCCTGAGAATCCCCGCCTCACGTTCCCAGGGCGGGGAACAGCTGCGCCCCCCTGTCCCAGCCGTACTCCCGACCGTGCCTCCGCCGCCCAAGCCTGCTGCTCCACGCCCACTGCTGCCAACCCCTGCAGGCAGCCTCCATTCCTAGGCCCTGTGTCCTCACCTTGACCGTGTGGGTCTCCCATGGCGTCTGCCTCTGTCCGCGCCAGCCTCCTGCGTTTTCCTAGGGGCAGGAGTGGAGAGAGGAAGACAGGACCCAGAGGAGCATCGGAGGCTCCCCCAGAGCACCGGCTCCAGACACACAGCAAGCGCCCACGCGATGGCAGGTGAATGAATGAGTGACTATATGGCACCCAGCCTGTCTGAATGTGATGTGTGATGCGTTCGGTTGGGGGCTGTACCGTAAATGGTGCGCTGGAGGGTGATCGTTTAACATGCAGACACTGGATTAGGGTTTTCCTTAAGGACATCTGCGAGCTGGGGTGACCCCAACATGCCTCTGGCAGATCTGTGTTGCTGGAAGGGAGAGAGAGGAGTGAAGTCGCATCACCCAGGGTCTGCCTCATCTGGGGACTGTCGGCAGACGACAGTGTCCCAGGCGTTTGGAGAGGGGCAGGGAACTAGAACCCACAGCCAGAATGCCTCCGATGGCCACAGACACCCACGCAGGCGGCGGCCCCCGTCTCTGCCCGGCCCGACAGCAAAGCTTCTCCCAATAGCTGCCCCAGGGGTTGCTTTTGCATCCTCCCCTCCAGTTCAGTCTTCAACCCCGGGACCTGCCTGCCATCCCGGCAGCCTGCGCTCCCCACTCCCGCACTTTGGTTTCTTTGGTTCCTGGGGCGCTGTCACCCCCGTGGTCACTCTGGCTTCTATCCCAGAGGCTCCCAGGCGCTGGGCTCTCGCCATCCAAGCCGGTGCCTCGGCTCCAGGTGCACTGCCAGCCCGCAGGTGTCTGGGGCCCGCGTATCTGGCTTCACACCAGACCTCGCCTCGGACACCCCACAGCTGTGTCAGACTTGCCAAGGCCGAGTGCCCTCAGTCACCAGTTAGAGAGAGCGTGTGCCTGTCCTCACGGCTGGGGATGTGGTCCGCTGCGGTGCCCCTCACACTCCCCAGGCATCCGCCGGCTGGGCCGCTCTGCTTCCATGCAGCCCACTGGGATCTCGCCTCTCCCCGGGGCCGCGGCCAGTTCCTGACTGCTTCTCGGGACTCTCTCCGCTCTCCTGCGGCTCTTTTTCCACCAGAGGATCACAGCAACCTTTTCCAAACAGAAACCAGCCCCTCGCCATAACACTGAAACCTGGATCCAAATGCCTTCCCGTGAGCAATTTAGCTCTGCACAGCTGTCCCCTCCCGAGCCACACCGTCCCATGGTCTGCAAACCTGCCCGGCCTGTCTTCACCTCAGTGCCACTGCTGGGGCCTCTGCCTGCAACGATCCTTTCCCTGCCCTTCGCCCATGACCTCCTTCTCAGCTCTCAGATTTCTGCTCAGATGTCACCACCTCCCTGAGACCTTCCCTGACCACCTCACCCAAAACAGGCACTCCCAGCGGCTAAGACATCCACATGCCACAGTGGAGTACCTTGGTTCAAGGTCTGGCGCCACTTCTGATTCCAACTTCCTGCGAATGCAGACCCTGGAAGGCAACAGAGAAGGCTCAAGGACTTGGGCCCCTGCTACTCACATGGGAGTCCTGTCTGGGCTCCTGACTCCTGGCTTTGGCACGGCCCAGCACTCATTGTTACAGACCTTTGGAGAGTGAACCAGCAGATGGAGCACCTCTCTCTCTCTTTTCTCTCTCTCTCTCTCATAAACAAATTTTTTTAAAATTAATTGGAAAAAATAGGCACTCTCCAGCCACACCAGTATTCTCTGTTTATCATTGTACTTGGCTGTTCCCATAAGAGTGTATTTCTCTTTCGTTTACATGGCCTCTCTTCTTGAATTTGGGTATGAACTCCAAGAACACAAACATGTTGCATTTTTCACTGCTGCTCTAGGCTTACATTTGGTATGTGCTCAGTAAGTATTTCTCCAGTGAATGAGAGAGTGAATGGAGCAAATTCCATAACCCTTGATGCAGCCTAAAGCTTGCAAACTTTGAAACTGTCTAGGGCCTCTTCGTTCAGGCCCCCCAGAGCCACTGTTTTGCTGGGAGAACCTGTCCCCAGTTTAACCAGAGGGCATCTGCTCCTGGCCACACTCCAAGTTCACAACTGGAATCTTCCCCGGAAACCCCGGCAGAGTGGGAGGGACAGCCTGTGCCGCGCGGCTCGGGCAGGTGCGGGGGTGCTGGATCCGGCGGAGCTGACAAAGGACATAACCTTGGAGGAGGCTGGGAGCTGGAGACCTGCCATCAGCCCAGCCAGCGCTCAGGGAAGAAATGTCAGATTTATTCGACTGTGGGACACACCCGGGACCAAAATCAATACCCAGCTTGGGGCTGTATTTCTGTGTTCACTGCCTTATGCACGGCTATAATAACTCCTTGTTTTAACATAGGTCTTATTTCCAAAGAGCCCTGCCTGTTTTATTTTCAGGTTAATGGGTCCTCGGACGATGCTCCTGGGGGGCGTGACGCACACATCACTGTGGCCGTGCTGTGCTGAGGCACAGAGCACAGGCAGCTTAGAGGACCTGCGGAGCTGCTGAAAGTCACAGAGGGGGAAAGACGGATGTAAGCGTGCAGACTTCCGGCTCCAGCTGCCTCGTGACGCTCCACTGCCTAGAACCAGAGTCACCGTTGAGCCCCCTGCGGTAACGGGGGCGTGTCTATACCTTACTGTCAGCCAGATTTGCTTATGGCTGCAAACTCCTGTGTCTTCCTGCTACATGGCATCTCCATTTTGCTCTCTCCCTGGCTCCTTGACCTCAATATGTCCAAAATTGAACACTTGAGCTACCTCCCCTAACCAAAGCTGCTCCCCGTCCTGTGTCCCCCACTTCGGGAAAACCACCACTACCACCACCACCCCCAAACTTTGGTGTCACCTGGGCCTCCTTCTCGGCCCCCCCGGTTCAGGAACTATGCACCTGCCAAGACCACCTGGTAACGGGCTCTGCTCCCCACCACTGCCCTCCACTCTCCCCTGCATGCCACAGAGCCCCCAACCCATCTGTGCATCTTGTAACTCATTCTGCAAAGGTGCCCACTCTCTGTTTTCCTGCCAGGCACCTCACCACATTCCCTGTGCCCACCGTGAAGCCCCCGGCCCACAGCCCCACCCTCCCATCCACTCCTGTCCCTGCCGCTCTGCTCACCACCCTGGACCCCCTGAGGCCTGGAATCCCTCCTCCTGCCCCTCCCCTGACCAACACCCACTCACCCCTACCCCTCAGGCCACAGCAATGCTCTAAGTCCTCAGAAAAATCTCCTGGGGCCCCCCAAACCTCAAGGTACTCGTCATAGCTCTGTGTTGATCTCCTGCCTGCCCCAGAGGCTCATGGGCAGGGTCCGGGTCTCTCTCACTTACTGCTGGGCCCATAGTGCTTCAAAAGCAACTGGTACGTGCTAGCTACACAGGAATACTGACTGAATCAGTGGCTGTGCACCAGGCAATGCATGGGTTCCCTCCCCTTCTGAGAAGCAAGGAGGCTCCCAGGCTTCCGCTGGCTATTTGTATCCCCAAACACTTGGGATGAAAGTGGGGACAGGTGGGAACAGGCATGACCTCCCCCCCCCCGCCCCGTCTGTGCTGGGGGTTTCAGGATGACACCTCCACACACCCTGGCTCCAAGAAGAGCAGGTGTGAAATAGATGCACTTCTTGGCACCATCACAAACCTCTGCCCCAGCAGGGCCTCTAACTGCAGGAAAGCAGCCACTTCACCTATGGATCATATGCACAGACAGCAACTCCTCCACCCGCCTCCATAGCCATCCTCGCCACCACGCCTACCTCCTGGCTTCCTGTCCCCACGCACAGCGGTGGCAAATGGGTGACCTAGCACAGGAGGAATTGATTGATTTTAAGCAAAGGATGCCAGAGAAATGTGAATGACCCACAGAAAGCCTATTGACCCATAAACTTTCCAGGACAAAGCAGAGGGTGCTAAGGTGCTCACCACGTAGAGAGAAATCTTGGAGGTAACGTATCGCTAATGGCACGAGCACACACAGTGTCAGACGCCGCAGTCTGGGCAGATTGTGTGTGACCCTCGTGAGAAGCCCCTGTAAGCCGGCACCAGCGTAAGACCCACTTGACACGGAAAGCATTGAGGCACAGAGTTGGGCATCATGTACCCCACATCACCCACTGAGTACATGGAAGGGCCAGGATCTCACCCAGGAACCACCTGACCCCCACCCCCTCCGCCATCTCCCCCTGTGCACTAGTGTTTCCCACCCCTCCCCCACTAAACGCACAGCAGTGAAAAGTCAGCTTTGGGTATAAGGGGGCTCTCACTAATTTTTCATGCATGATGTATGTTGTTCTCACGTAGTTTAGTATCTGTCCCCATGGAAGGTTAGGATCTACTAGGCAAGGCGCTCCATAGGAAACCATGAATTATTTTCAGGTAAGACTGTAAATGCATCCAAAGGCCCTGACAGCAGTGGCACCAAAACACCTGGTGTGACCTGTGGTCCACAGTGATTACGGGAGTGTGAGGGAGCACGGGAGCCACCTGTCTGGTCCCCCGGGAGCTCCAGGGACCTCTCCACCTCTCACAGTGGTGACTGCCAGAAGTCGCCTGGTGACAGGGGTGTGTGGTGATGCTGTGACCCACCCACAGGGCATCCGGGCAAAGCCCAGCATGGCGGGGGATCATGGCAGAAAGATCTCCATGGACTTGTGCGTCTGTGAAAACCCACCAGGATGCAGAAGCGGGGAGTGGTTGCTCTGAACATCGCATCCTGAGAATCCTCGTCTGATCATTCAAGAGCCAGAGCTGAGCAGGTCCTGTGGGCCAGACCAGCTGGTGTGGGGACACAGCAGGTGACTGGGACGGAGCTGGTCCTGGCCTTCATGGAGCTCCTTCTCAGAGGGGAGACCCAAAAAGCTGTAGGCAGCACTGGAGGCCAGTGCGCAGCCCAGCTAGATGGGACTCTCATCTGACCCTGTGTGCCTAACATTCCAATAAACCTGAATCCTGCCACCTAGAATGTTCTCCACAACTCAAAGTGTCACTGGTGTCGGTAGGATGCTGGCAGTGGTCAGACGCATCCCAATTCCAGAGAAGCTAAAACAGCACACGTCTCGGATCCATCGAGTCGGCAGGGGCCGACAAGGCTGGTCATGTGATGAACTTAAGACAGCGCCTAACACAAAGTAAGCACTAGGGGCCGGTGCTATGGCGCAGTTGGTTAATCCTCCACCTGTGGCGCCGGCATCCCATATGGGCACCGGTTAGAGACCCAGCTGCCCCTCTTCCAATCCAGCTCTCCGCTGTGACATGGGAAAGCAGTAGAAGATGGCCCAAGTGCTTGGGTCCCTGCACCTGCATGGGAGACTGGGAAGAAGCTCCTGGCTCCTAGCTTCGGATCGGCGC